GGGGGCAAACGAGCATGCGGCTCACCTGATGTTAAGTGACTACCGCCGCCCATGATCAACCGCAACACCAGGGGAATTGCAGGTGCGTTGCCGGCCCTTTAGAAAGGAGTAAGCTCTTTTCTTGAAGGTTCTTATTTGTTTTGGTTCGCAACAAATTTTAAGCCTATTTTTCTTGAAATTAAAGCTTATTTAGAATCAAATTTAGTAAGAATTACTTCGCCCCTATTTTTTTATAGATTTAGATTTTTATAGATTACACAGTCCACCTGACAGTAAGTAATTGCTGTGGCCCATAGATCCATCTACATCTATTCTCGTTTGCGAATCAAATTGCAGATGCGTTGTCAGCCGTGAAGAAGAGGATGGAATGCATCTTTTCCAGTAGAAAGGGTCTCCGGTTCTCTACACATTCCATACGAAGCACAGCAGCATTAAGCTACTATTTTACGCTGGTATTCTGTGAGAGCGTGGTCCTTCCCCGGTCGAACCGACCCATTCGTGCTACAAATATACTAGCACCTGGATGAGCTTTTCTCGTTTTTTTTAAAATTACATTTAGATACAAATTACATACTGATGAAACCTGAATAATATTTTTTGATCTTAGCGACATAATAGAAAAAACTATGGTTTACCCATAGATTGCCTGAGATTAGTTTGTTACTGGATGAGTTCCTTAACTTAACGAAAAGTTTTGTAACCTTACTTAACGAACAGTTAAGAAAAGTTTTAATAAAGACATACAACACGAAATTGATCATAAATAACACACTCGCGATCTTTCAAAAGCTTTGCTGAAAATACCACTATCGCAAAATCATTACGAAAGACAAGGACTTGCTTATATTATATCCAAACTTATAAATAAAGTACCCTAATGACCGACTTTTGCTCGCATTTTTTGTGAAATTACATTTAGATACAAATTATATAGCTATTCAGCGAGGAAACGCAGCCAGCGTTCTTGGCACTATACCACGGGGAGCAGGTCTTTTTGACTATTTAAATTTTTAATTTTAGATCTTCTATATTATAGTTTCTTCTTTTATATTGTATATAATTAGTTTAAATCGTAAATATTATAATTATAATTAGATACAAATTACATTTTTTTGATCTTATTGACATAATAGAAAAAACTGAACTGGTTATTTGAATAAAACATGAGTGCAATTAGTTTAATTAGGATTTTCGAATTTTTAAAAAAAAATACTAAAAAAGGGATCGCAATAATAAATTTTCTTACAAAAGAAGGGAACTTGGAAAAAAAAGGAAAAAAGTCGGACCGAATTTCGGGGGAAAGAGAAGAAAATCGTTGGAGCCGTTTCCGAGATTCCGATTATATATATATATATATATATATATATATATATATATATATATATATATATATATATAAGATTTGCTCGTTTAATGTAAGTTAATATAGCTGGAGCATGCTCTACTATATATAAAAATATCTGCCCAATGAAATAAACTTCTAAAAAAATGTCTTACCTAGTTCGAAGAGCCTGCCTGCCTCAATTGCGTATACTATCCTAGTTACCACTATTCCCAACACTACTACACTAGGAAAGACACACCATCGGTCAGATCTGACCAGTCAGCCACCACAGAGTCTACATCACCTGAGGATGTCTCGTATGGAGGCGAATCACGTGTCGTATTATCGTCCATGGTGTGTCTGTACTAGTTTAGTGGTGTTGGGAGTAGTGGTGCCGGAGCCAATGCGCGCAGTTGCGGGGGGGCGGGACGTGCTCTTCAAATTAGGCAAGACACATCATTTTATTTCATTGAGCGGATATGACCGACGTAATTCTTACTAACTTTAATATAATGGGTTTCCGCAAAATAACACCTGATTTTATTATTTCTTTGGAATCGTTGTGACTTGAAACTCGACGAGCGACACTAAAAGAGACAAACATATACATCTATAGTATTTAGCTTGCGATCGAATGAGATAGAATACCATATAATAGTGTTTCCTGTTATCTCGGTCCCCTTTTCTGAAAGTTTAACTTCTACAGCGTGTGAACTGTATGCTTTTTTTACTAATGGTATCCTAGCCTAGGATTTTCTCCTATATCGTGGAGGCAGTTTATATATAAATACTACTTTTCTGCCTCCAGGGCGGCGTTACTGCGAAATGATGTGAAATATTTGACAGTCATACGTGGTAGAGTCACGCTGCAGCTACATTATGGTTGGGATAGTACCACGCTCTCACAGAATACCAACGTAAAATGGCAGCTTAATACCGCTGTGTTTCGTATGGTGAGTGTAGAGAACCGGAGACCCTTTTTACTGGAAACTAGTCATTCCATCTTAGTCCTCACGGGTGACAACGCATCTGCATTTTGATTTGTAATCGAGAAGAGATGTAGATGTATATGTGCCGCAGCAACCCCTTACCATCAGGTGGATTGTGAGCTCGTTTGTCACCCTTAATCTATAAAAAAATATTGTTTAAAAAATTACTTATGTTATTAAGTGATAATGATTTTTAACAAACTTTGAATTGTTTTAGATCCTAAATGGTCATTTGAAATGAAAAATGATTATGTAAACCTAAAATTTATTTTCGAAGAACTATTCAATGATATCCCGCTTGACATACTTCCTTGACTATAATTTTTTTATTTTCCACTGTATGACGTCTGGTTGTCGCCATATTGAATTTTGATTACTGTTATGTCTTTAGTGACATTCGTAAGATTAAGATAAATCGAGTGACGTAAGAACCATCAAAATCGGTCCAAGCGTCTGGTCCCGAGAGCGCCACAAAGAGGAACAAACATAAATACATATATATGCTGATTTTAAACACAATACTTTATTCATTAAACTACTCTTATGGATTTTATTGCGTTTGATTAATTTATTTTTTTAATTTCCGACATTTTGGGGGTCATGGTCACGGGGGACTGAAAAAAAGTCTCCGAATCTCTACACTCACCATACGAAACACATGCTATTATTACACAGCTGCTATTTTACGCTGGTATTATGTGAGAGCATGGTTCTTCCCCGGTCGAGCCGACCCATTCGTATTTCAACCATAATATATCTGCAGGATGGTTCTACCACGTATAATTACATTATATTTGATCAAATAAATAATAAATTTAAGAATATATTTAACCATTATGTTTGTAATAAGTCTGTTACGTGATATCTTCATCAATAGTGAAAACATTTTAATGCTACTTTCTATATTAAGTTAGCGATCCAAACCGGCTTCGTACAGGTGATCTGGATTTTGAAAACAGCACTACCGGGTGCCAATTTTCCTGTAATCTACACTATCCAGGGTATAAATATATTATATATCTTTATTGTAATGGATTTCCGCAAAGTAACGCCTGATTCTATCAATTATATTATATATAACTCAAACACAAAAGAAATTCATCAAAACCAGTCCAGACGCTAGAGAGTTTGGTGACAAACACCCGTACAGGAAAAAATATGCATAAAGTTAGGTTGTATTACTTAGGGCAATTTGAAGAAAAAAAAAACACACCTCCAAGGATGTGGAAAATAGTGGATGAAATTATCATCAGCTGACAACTTCACTGATGACAGCGCGGATTGAACTCTGTTTGACTCGCGCTCTGCGAAATTTTTAGCGATTACCCATTTACCGTGTAGTGACGGTGCAAGAATATCCACTTACACAAGTCGTGCTGAGAGTGTCGTATGAGGCGATAGAAGGTAACAACTCATGAGATGCACGGTATCGTCTTCCTAATTTTTTATTTTAATTATTTAACGAGATGACATCATATCTAGGAAGCTAAGACAGAGAAACAGCTAGTGTAACCAGTAGTAGTAACCAACTTCAAAACTAAAATCTCATTCTTCCAGCCCATTTGCCATGTCTATAAAAGAATATAATAAATTACCCGAATATATAAAAAACATTAAAGGCGAAAAACCATTTGCAAAAAATTAAAGCAACTACTTATAAACAAGTTTTACTATAGTACTTCTGAATTTTTAGAATATAAAAATATAATAAAATATAGATATGTAAATATAAATACCTATGTTAAGTAATAATGAAATACCATCCTACTAAATAAATTACAATAACAACTTTTAATAAAATTTAAAATGATTCAAATAATTTAATAAAAATTCAACTGTGCTAATTATACTACCTATAATAATAAATTTAATGTCAAATACCCCTATTCCAAATTCAATGTATGTTTATATAATATAATGAATGTTAATATCATCGATCACTAATATTAAACTAGATACACAATCCCATACAAAAGTTCTCTAAAAACTGTCCCCAACGGTTTGACGTAATTCTAGTCGAAATAAACATACATTAATGTAAATTAAACCTTAAATGCATGGTGTATAGTAGTATTCACAAAGCTACGTACAAAAAGCAATAAATTTTTATGACTGTACCTGCTGCTCAACCTATATTAAAACAAATTCATCCTTACACGCATGTTTTAAAGTCAGAATTACAAAGTGCCAAAAAAAAGAAATTAAATTTTACGACCGAGGCTCGTCGCTTGGACAAGGAATAAGGGAGTCGAACTGCCCAATATTTTTGTTACTGTAATTTTAAAATTTTAATGTTGTTAATTTTTTTTAAAAATTGGTGTAGTAATTGGTGTATTATGTGTAATGCATATAATTAACCTGAATGTAAATATGTTTTTGAATAGGATACCACATACATTTAGAAATGAAAGTACTTAAAACAGTCATAATTATTTATTTAATTAAAAAAAAATTAAAAGTATTGCTTAAATTATTATCTTATTATTAAATCTAAATTCCATGGTTACTAAATATAAAAAGTATGTACAGAAAGTTGTAAAATCTAAAAATATTATTGTGCAAAATTTTGACGTAATGTTCATATTTACAGAGGTTACAAAACAATACTGGATAAGACAGAATAATTATGTTATTAATTTCCTTGAAATAAAATGAGTTTATTAAATAATCGTCTTTTAGATAGAATTTTATTTTTTTTCCGTATCTTTTTTTGCTATGTAATGTAATCTTACTTTAAGGTACCGTTCAGTAATCGATTTTATTGTAATAACTCTATGATTATTATCGTGACACTTGGATGAAAATATGTCGACACCTAAAAATGATGACAATACCATGCTGCAAATTTGAGAAATATCAAAATTCTTCTTAGTACACATGTGGTAGTGTCTAATTGCAACTTCTGTTTTTTTGCAAACAAGAAATACATCTAGAGATGAAAAAAACAGTCCCCCGAGGTTTCTTATATCAATAAGTTTGTGAAAAAAAAGCCTATCTCGAGCTAATAAACTATTTACACATGCGTCACATTTCATAGTTTTTACTAAATGGCGTACCACGTTTCCAGCTATATATCCCACGATTTGATCGACATATTCGGATCTACATTCGGATTCATTGAGCTCCAACGATAATATGTCACAGTTATCTTGAATATGTGAGTCTTCTAAGTTATTACTGGAGTTATTGATTTCTATTTCATTTTCTGAGCGATATCCTATTGAACTTATATTTAGAGCGGAAATTGTATTGTTACCACTTAAAATTGGAATATTTTCCAGCGGTATAGCATTTCCTGTAAACTTATTACTTAGCTCTAAATGCATTAGCATTTTCTTATAAGCGGACTTTAGCTGCACTGCATTAGGGTTATTATTATGACCACCATGACTTCGCAAATGACCGAAAAATAGTTCCACATGATCTTGGCTAAATTTGTAACTTAGCAGAAAAGAAAGGGTACCAGATTCGACCAGAGTCCTGCATAAATATGTTAAGCTTTCAATGCATATTAAAAGTCCAATCACACCAGTATTCGCTTGGCACTTCCATAACGGAATATTTTCCGAAGTATAAACCACTCTTGTTTCATTTTTTCTTTTTATAGTTTTTTTTCCGTCGAATATCGATACTTAAAGGTATTAAATATTCTTTAGCTTTCACTAAATATAAAATTATTTGTTCAGCATTATTAACACTTAGTGGTTTTTTGTACCCGTGATCATTTAGATTCCTAGTGTTTAATACGTCGAAAATATTATTTAAAATTAAAATGAAGTCTGCTGTTGCACTAGAATCTTTAAAATCGATAAGATGTAGTTGCTTTTCACAAAACTCGATAGCTCTAGCCACAGATCGACTCAAGAGTTGCGTTGCTAATTTCACCTTCATTATTTCATTTCTAAATGCTATGTGGCGGTGAGATAATTTGTTAGCAAGATGTAGTCCCTTTTCTTCCTGTAAATTATGAAGACGACCTATGAGATCCCATCTTATAAGTTTTTGATTAGCATCCTTGATTATCTTTTTTGGACTCAAATGTGTTACGCATAAGTTTAATCATGTGACATGCATCTAGAAACACAGTCACTTCGTAATTGTCTGAGGGGTGTTTGAAATGAGTTTTCATGTTCATACAATCGTCAATGTTACAACCGAGGATTTTCATACAAGAAATATTTGATTTACACCCATCAAAAGTCAACGCTATCACTTTTACGCCAACTGAATGACATTTTTCTAAAGCAATTTTAAGTAAATTGGCCTTTACTTCAGCTGTCAGACTTGTAATGAAAAAATAAGCTATAGGTATTTTAAATGATTCGTTTACACCCACTAACATAATGACATATACTTGACTAGCAATGTCATTTGTGTCGTCAGTGCTGCCAAGTCCCATGTCAATTAAACCCTCATAACGTTTACCAGTCCATATTTTCTGTTGTCGTATTGACATTTCGTCAGCAATTATAGCACCTATTACTTCTTTTTTGGCTTTATCTGTTTTTTCTTTTAGTCTGTCAAACGCTTCTCCTGTAAAACCAGGTTCTGCATTTATACTTCTGTACCAGTTGCATAAAGTATTCGGGTGAGGTAGACAAGTGTCAAAAATTTTTCGTATGTACTTATACGCGGCTGGTGAATAGAAGTGTAGTGTAATGGCGAATTTTCTGGCACCTGGTGGATATTGAGAAAATGGCCGCTTTCTGCCTGTTACGTTCTTTAAATAAATAGCATTAAAAGTGTCTGTAACTTCTATATGTTTAGATAGGTCATGAAGTAATGACTGATCCACTATTTGACGTTTATTTAATAGAGATAGAACATCCTTTAAGTTATTGTATTTTTTCTTTAGTCTTTTATTTTGTTTGCGTAAGTTTGATAATTTGTGGTTCTTTACTGTTAAAAGCCTTTTGCAAGCAAAAAGTTCCTTCTTCAAAGCAACTTTTTTTGGTGTATCCAGAATTGAGCCAATAATAAGAGATGAAGTTGGGCTTTCAAGAACTTCAGAAACTCTTGGTTCAATATTTATCTGAAATGAAACAACATAAAACACAAGATAATTTATAATTTTGTAATTATTTATATCGTCATATCACTTTTTAAAATAATCAAAAACTATCATGTAAGAAACAAAACAAAATAAATTTAAGGTTGTGCTTTCAAGCCCCTGAATTCATTGCGCATTGAAGTTTGAATTGATAAACACGTTGTGAAAATATTATTAAATAAAAATATCATTGTTATATTTACAACTACTTACTTGTGGTTGCAAGGAACATTGTTCAATCGCTTTTTTATCAAAAGAAGACTCATCTTCTACATCATGATCATTTGCTTCCTATAAACAAAACACATTAATAATAATTCATGTGCATAAATAACTTACTTATTAAAATGCCACATACTATTCGCGGTATAGCTGTTTTGTGTAGCCTTCTGATGCCTTTCGTAGTTACATATTCATCACTTTCTAAAAAATTCTTTGAACATACAACGCTTCCTTGAGTCGGCTTGAAGAATTCTTCGGATCTCTGACGTGCTATGACTGATATCCATTCTCCACACCTAACTGGATCTCGAGGAAAGCTAAAAAATAAAAAATAAAATCTCACATCTTATTACATGCACATTTTCAAAATTAAAGCAATAAAATGTTATTATAATATTTAGAGAAACAATAAAGAAGTCTCATTAAACAAAAAAACAATCAAACTTAAATAATAAAAAAAATTAAAAACAATAACGTCTCCAACAAATGGAACAGAGTCAACGCACATAATTCTCGAACAATCATGACTTACTTATTATGACTTAATTTAAAAAATGTTTTAGGGATTTCTTGACAAAATATAAGTATTTACAATATAGTGATAACAATTAAATAACGATAATATTAATACATACCGAAAATAGGAAATTCCATCCTTTTTTTAGGGTCCTGGATGTGTGATTTTTACACTTTTTATACGAGCACTGAGGCATGTTTGCCGTCGGAGTATTCGAATGTGCTTTTTGTCACTGATTGTGTATCTGGGTTTTTATTAGTGATCGATGGTTAATATTAAATAATCACTTAACAATAATAATAATAAAACAAAATAAAATTTCCTCCTTCATAATATTGCTGTGCCCATCAGGGTCTATAGAGATACCATAAAACTATGTAACACCTTTTGTAACCTATGGAATGCAATAAAGTTATTGAGTATTGAATATTAAAAACGACTAAAAAAAACTGCGTTTGCCATCCCGCTTGCCAAGCGTAGCAACTTTGGCAAATATCTCCTATAGAAGGCAATCTATAGGAGAGACGTATGTTCAGAAGTAGATTATTAGGCTGTAACGAAAACTGATTATCTTTAGCCTGTTTATATATCAGCTCTCTGGAGACCAGTATATTTTACTTTTAAATAAAGAACACATGGAGACCAAATGACCAATAATGTATTTTAATTTCAAATATAGAACACAAATCGATATTAACATTTGAAATACGCATCGATGAATTATAATTGCGGCCATGACGCAAAACAAAATTTACGTACAGTCGATGATAAAAATATATTCGCGTGTAGCGGATGGATGCGTTCCGCTTCTCTGGCGACAACACTTTCCCGTTCGAGTGTACGTAGGAGTTAATGTACCGTGTTTTACATGTGATTGAGTTTTAATTGACGTACTGTGACTTCATATCTTCAAATATTAACATGTATGATATATGTTAGGGTATTAATATAGGGAATTAAGTATTTAATGTTATTTAAACGATATACTAGTTGTTACCTCGAACTTATGACATTCTTTAGTTCACTTAAAATTATCAATTAATACCAGCGTAAAATAGCAATTTAATGCTGCTGTATTTCGTATGGTGAGTGTAGCGAACCCGAGAGCTTTATTACTGGAAACTAGTTACTCCATATTAATCCCCAGGGGTGACAACGCATCTGCATTTTGATTCTTAATCGAGGATAGGTTAAAATGTCTATGGCCACAGCATCCACTTACCATCAGCTGGAATGTGTGCTCGTTTGTCAGGCTTATTCTATTATCATGCATTACGAGAGCCTTCACTTAACATTAGGAGAGGGGTATAATCGTTTGCCCTGTCTTCTATAAAAAAGTTAGAATGTGGATATTATGGCTGTGTTCTTTTACTCGTGGTTATGACACCGTATCCAAGCGTAACATTCCTATAATATAAGCGTTATATTACACGCGCACACTGTAGCTAAATATATAAAAATTGTGCTAAATTGTATTACAATGTGAGTGTAGTTTTTTTTTAATTATTTTGGCACTAGTTCCAAGTTTTTCAGCCAAAACTAATGTATCAAACACCGTAATACATCAATCAATGTATAAATACGTTAGTAAATTTCTTCAAAATATATTGATGCGTCACATTGAGATATTGATGGCAGCTTAAGCCATTGGACATTCAATGACGCACCTTGTAGCACTTGTTTTATCGTTTTCAATAAATATTCACTTGAAACCATTATTTAAACAATAATATTGAAACAGTACTCTGCTATCGGCGGTCAAGTTCCCTCCAGTGTAGTGCTTACTTATAAATTATAGTGACAAACGTTCACCTGATCATAAGTGGCTACTACCATCTATGGACACCTGCAGCAAACTTTAAACAAGGAAGGCTACAGATTAGTCCTGTGTCGATCGCGATTGATAGAATCTTTTTGATTCGATTGCAACCTATACACGAGTGATCGAATCATGATCTCTAGAAGATTCGATCTTATTTGACCTGATTTCAAGGTGACAAGACAAACCAAATTCTACTTTTTTGCATATTTTTACATACATATAATCGATCGAATAGTGCAGTCAATCACACAAACACGTAATAAACAAAATGTCTTCTGTCTCCTTCGTTTACACACAATTCAACCAATAAACAAATCATAGTGTTTATTATTACTATTATAGCACACGTTTAGCATTCTTCATTCGGTCATACAAAGTATACAAACGAGCTGCGACCCAAATGATCGAAACGATCGAATCTTTTTAACTGGATCACCATACGAGTGGGTCATAATCGACCCGGGTTACGAGAAATAATCGATCGACACAGGTCTACTACAGATGCTTCGTATCATTATATTATCTTTTACACAATTGTTAGATGATCGATAAGGTCAAAATCATTCAGTAGATCAATTACCATAGTATTTTTATAAGATACTGGTGAAGAGCAGTGTAAAGAAATGAGTACTTAGTGAACTATACTTTATAGGTTAGAGTTATGAAATTAAAAATAAAAATTTGTTTAAGTAATCCTTTAAAAATTGATACATGACATAGATATGGAAGTAATTGGGATATTTTTAAGTGAATATATACTTGTGGCAGTTATAAAATGTAGCTCTTGCGCAGTACGAGATAGAACTTTAATATGATATGATATTACAAGTGATCAGGTGACGCTAAAACCAAGCCTAAACCATGCTCAAATTATTATAAGAACACACAATACACATATATATGCATTAAACCATTTGTGAATGACATACAGTTACATACAATAAAATGATTAACTCTAGTATTATAAAATTACAAAACTACATATTATATTACAAAACTGCATACCTAGTCGGGTCATAAGTTCTGTCAAAACCTTATTATTTAAAAAAATTGAATAATGGCTAAATGAACTTCACCGGTTTTAAAAACATAACGTTTGTGCTTGCAGAAAATAAAAAAGACATTAATTTCCACCAATTTTCAATAATGGAGTGATCGAAAAAAAGAGTAGCGGTTATCGCGTTGCACCGCTGTGGTTGCACGCCAGAAGAGATTTTGAATATTCTACAAAAATTGAAAATAACCCTACGATTTGTTTATCGCACTATCAAACGATTCACGGAAGATTCAAGCTTCGAAGATCGTAAGAGGACCGGCCGACCTCGTACAGTTAGGACACCCGCGATCATCAAAGCAGTGAAGGCGCGAATCCAACGAAATCCTATTCGTAAACAAAAAATCTTAGCTCTTCATATTCACGGACAAAAGATTGATCAATGAAGACCTAGAACTACGAGCTTATCGTAAGAAGACCGGATATTTTTTGAATAATCGTTAGAAAAAAATTAGGCTGGATAGATCCCGAGCTTTGTTACGGCGTTACGTAGGAAAAAATACAACGAAATTTTGTTTTCGTATGAAAACATTATCAACATTGAAGAATATTATAAAAAACAAAATGATAAAGTGTACGCCCACAGCAGTGAAGAAGCCAGCACGCGTATTCCGAGGGTTCAACGAGCACATTATCCTTCGTCACTAAAGGTTTGGCTTGAAGTCTCATATTCAGGCTCAACTGAGGTGTTTTTCTGTGAAAAAGCTGTAAAAAGCCAGTGCCGAGGTATACCAAAACACCGTCCTAACAAACATGGTTGAACCTCTTTCACAAATGAATTGGATATTCCAACAGGACTCTGCACTAACTCATAGGGCACGAAGTACGCAAAAGTGGTTGACCACCCATGGAATTGACTTTATCGGACATGAAGACTGGCCCTCTTCTAGTCTCTATTTAAGCCCATTGGATTATAAGATATGGCAACGTTTGGGGAAGAAAGTCTGCGCTAAGCCCCATCAGAATTTGGAATCTTTCTGAGCATCTTTGGCTAAGGCAGCGACAGATTTAAATATGTATGTGGTGCGTGCTGCGATTGATGATTGGCCGCGTCCATTAGGGGCGATATTCAAAATAGGGGAGGGCATTTTGAATAATGTAAATAAAATTGTATTCTAAATCAAATTACTTTTCATTAAATATATAATTTCTATATAATTATCAAAAAGTGTATCATTAATTTAAAAAAAAGTTTTTGACGGAACTTCTGACGTGACTAAGTATACAGTCCCATGCGTCGGATTTATTTTTGACTGACTCCTCGTTCGCCATGGCATGGACTTGAATGATGTGCGCAAAGAAAATTGTAGCCAAGTAGACATGATAATTGGCAATAAATTTTGACAGTTGAAACACATAACACAGACAATGGAAATTTATAACGTACAAAATTTGACCTCCTTAAACCTCGATAACTTTATTTAATAAAGCTTTAAAAAAAGGTTTATAATGATATTAAGAAATTTATGGATGATATTAAAACCTGGAAGTGACGCGATCGCTACCAATCTTATTCGTTTTGTGTTTTAATTGTGTGATATGTATAATTGTAAAATGTGATTTTTTTTAATTCTCTCTGTGTTTTCTAGCTGGTTCTTCCCAGGTCAGAGGTATTACCCGTACCAGTAGTAAATTAAGCATAAGAGTGACTTTCAATAAGTATTATTATTATTTATAATCTATGGTGATTTCAAAAAGTTTCTGTTTCTGTTTAGAAGTCAGTACATTACTGTACACGGAAATTCTAAAGAGTATAACTTTTATAATACCTACATTTTCATATTTTAAAGCAAGTGAAGTGCACACATCACGCACACACATTTAGTGTGCTACAACCATTATGCTTGCGTATTCGGAATAACGCAGCGATAAATTAAAAACCAAATCAGTGTTCACCGCACGAGGTACAATCACAAATTTATTACAGGACAACAAATGAATGCGGCGCGTTAAATTGAACGATAGCACTTTACCGCTTGATTGTGCACGAAAATGTCCTTTGCGTTTTTTCTAGGGAAACAATTTAATTTAACGCGCAAAAATAATATACTGCTAGTGAAATAAAAAGTTTTGCATGCAATAAAAACGGCAAAGACCGCTATATTGTACGTGAAGTCATAGCGCAGTGAGTGTCACTTAACATGACTCCAAAGTATTTTATAATTTTCCATACGTGTCAGTTTTGTCAAAACGTTAGCCTTTACCGATGAGCACGTGATAAATCAACCTTTAAAAATTTTATTAATAATTACAGCGTTGTTGATTGCCGGCTCTGCGGATCGAAATTGGCTTGATAATTTTACTTTTGTGTAATATAAAAATTGAAATATAGTATTTTAACAGCTCAATAAAGTTTATGTTTGACCAGCTTCATGAAGAAAAAATGATTGAGATCTAAATAATGATTTCACATATTTATGTTAATACTGCAAATTTAATTGAAGCTAATTATATAATTTTAACTTTTATATATTTTTAATTTTTGACGTTTTGAATGCTTTGTAAAATTCATAAGCACAAGGGGTGTCCGGCATCCTGATGTCGTAATTAATTACGGCTACCTTTAATTTTAAATAATACTTAAACTAAGTCAACCCTAAGTATGGAGCCTATTGAGTATTCGTAAATAGCGTAGTTAAATTACTTTTATTTCTGTAAGATCTAGAGGTGGTATGATTAACACCTAGTAAAGTTACTTTTTTAATAAAACTGGAATGACAAAAGTACTTACAGACCATATTTTGGTAAGGGGCTACTGTAGTTCTCGAACACATGCAGTCAACCTCAATCAAAGAAGGCTAGTCACCTGTGAGGACTAAGATGTGATACCCTACAGATTATAATTACAGTCTCTCTTTATTCATCAGCACGAAACACAGCAGTACAATCACTGCTGTTTGCCAGCAGGAATGAGTGTCGGCACAAGAGTGTGGAACCTACCCAGGAGGACTCATAGGCAGAAAACCACCTGGTACAAAATACATATTTTTTATAGAATAAGGAAAATTGACTGTGTGCTCGTTTGTCACAAATGAGCACTCAGTCCATCTTCCATTACAGCCTTTAAAAATCCACTGCTGCAAATAAGCCTCCCCTGAAGATTGCCTCATAGGAAGGATTTTGCCATAGTTGCCACGCTTGAGAAGCGGATTGGCAACCGCAGTTTTTTCCAGTCCACCTAATGGCAGTGGATAATGTGCACAATGGACATTTACATTTATTCTCGATTAAGAATCAAAATGTAGATGCTTTGGCAATACTGATAATTAAGATAGTACGCCTCGTATCCAGATAAAATATATCTCCGGTTCTCTTTACTCACCATACTAAACACAAATCAAAATAAATCATTTATTGCATGGATGAGTGAATGAATGTACTTTATAGTACAGTACAAAAAATATACAGATAACATAAAAATAAGCAGATTAAGGGTACATATTTACAATTTGGCGCTTATAGTTACATAGCGATCTCTTCCAGGCAACCAAAGGTGTAAAAGAATAAAACAATGAAAACTACATAGGTAGGTGGTGCAATATAATAGTACCTATGCGATATGTAGACTATATACGCAATAAAATAACATATAAATAAATAATACATTAAATTATATAAATGGATTAAATACGATAAATTAGATGGAAAACGTTAGTAACAGACTTTCTTTTTATTTTGGTCAAATATTTCATATTATGATAAAGTTAACTATAAGAATAGTGATGCTAAATGGGTCGCATGTGTCACAAATCATGGATTTCATGATTTGAGTAATAATCATTTGCTATCAAAATCAAAATCATTTGCTATGAAATTAATGTCAAAACCTATTAATTATAAAATGAAAGTCAAAGCAATATATTGACGCAGTCATATATCTATAATTAGTCACACCGAAATGCACTAATTCATAATTTCTCAGTTAAATACTCTTACACCGTATAATAACATTCGTACAGCAGTGCAGTGGCATTAATCTGGGGGCACGGCAGTGCCCCCGCCAAGTCGAGCAAAAAAGCGGCACGGCCGTACCATCTTTTTTCGAAGCAATTCAGGCCATTTTCGACCCCTTATAACTTCGTGATCAATAAAACTAGAGGCAATTTATATATTTAAAATATAAAAGACTTTTAACATCGATATGGTCATTATAAAATGTTGTTGGGTTAGCTAATTACGTAATAACTTAAAACAGAAGGACTCTTAAGTAGGAACTGAATAAATTAACCGACTTGGTATTACATGGATCTCACAACTTTTTACAGTAGAAGAACTGAGTTGCGAGACTTGGTTTTTTTTACAAGTTATGTTTTTAATGGTATTTACTATTTTACCCTGGTATTTTTTAAAAAAAGAATATTAACAATGCTATAAACGTTACTAATCACCAATTAATTTTTTGGCCCGACCCGGGATTCGAACCCAAGACCTGATTATCAGCTGTCACACTACTACAACCACTAGACCAACGTAGTAGGTATATATTAAATTACATCGGAAAAGTCTTACGGTAATTTATAATAGCATTTGTCATTGACTGTTCTTCTTTATCGATAGAAATCCAATCTAATATTTCAAAATGCGATATATTCAAAAAGTCGCCAGCACTTAATCAAATTTTAAATCTGTCAAAAGCAAAGGACTAATAAATTAGTGTGGAAACGAAAACCGTTTTCATCCAAAGCTAAAACGCTTTATTTAAAGTTAAAGGCGTTTGACAGTCAAGAAATATTAGGAGTGCATTTATCATGGCTGCAAAGAGTGTTTAGACGGTGGCGTTGTATGCTTGGAAACGCTAGACCCCAAAACAGGCAGTTTTCCAAAGCTATGTATAATGTTCAATTCAATGAAACAATCGCACAACTACTACGAGCCCACTTGGGACAGCAACTGTACAGTAGCGGATAAGGAAACTAGAGATAGGGAGCAGCATTTTTTTTTAATTAGATTCTGGTAACTGCAACGTGATTACCATAATAATATAGAACCTTTTATTAGCCTTAAATTAGAGCTAATTACCGTTTTCTTACTGAAAATTCATAAAAGTACGAGCAAATAGTTTAACCTAAATATATATACAAAATAGATTGTGTGTGTGTGTGTGTGTGTGTATATATATGTATGTGTGTGTGTGTGTGTGTGTGTGTGTGTGTGTGTGTGTGTGTGTGTGTATATCTCTTCTTTTTAATATATACAAATTACGTGTCACGTTGTTTGTCCGCGATGGACTCCTAAACTAGTTAACCGATTTTGATCAAATTTGCACACCGTGTGCAGATTGGTCCAACTTAAGAGATAGGATAGTTTTTTGCCGATGAGCCACAATTTTTTTTGCGAATTTAAGGATTTTTAATAGAACACATTGTGTGTATTGTGTATGTGTGTTCATTTCATGTGTGTTCTTCATTATGAATCCTATCAGGCAGACAAACTCCAAGTACAGCCAGAAGTGAAGCAACACATCTCAGAAACATATTCATCACCATACTCGTCATTGATAGCAAGTTCTGGTTGTTTTTTTGTTGCAAACACTTTTGTTTTGTTCAGAAATTCATGAAAAGAAAAGATCACACAAAAAAGATACACTTCGAATGCCGTAGATTCACCGCTCCGTCACAGTTGGACTTACCTAGTCGGATAATTTGTCCTATACAATTCCAGGAGGTACAGCTATTTTCTTAATTAAAGATTTAAAAAAATGACACCATAAATAGTCTTTGATCCTCAATTTAAATAACGCCACATTAATAAAGCATCTGCAGACAAAACCGGGGTAGGTCGCTAGTCGACAATATATTATATGAGATAGATTGAATGAAAATATATATGATCATATGATTGAGCTTATAACATCTGAAAACCTAATCATAAAGCTCATTGCACTAATTACAGTTTAAATCCAATCTAGATAACAACGGTCCCAGTTGAGGAGTAATATAAATCAACTTAAAGAGTGCGATGGGCAGAGAAGATGTCCGTATAAAGGTCCTGATATTTATTTTGCTGCTGTAACAACATTTATATTAAGAGACTGTTAGACTGGAAAGGTTTATTTTTTTTTCCTCAATATCAATCAAAGACAAACCATAAACACGATTTTTTTATTATATTAAAAAAGGGCTAATTTTAGTAAGATCTAAACTTTTGTGTAGTATTCGTGTAAATGTAAGATATTATTTTATGAAAACTTTTACACTGAATCAATATATTTAATATAAATAACTAGTAATAACATTAGAGTTAAAGAAAATTTAAACAATTTTTTATAGAAGGGTGCAGGTATACGACATATAAAGTAAGAAAGAAGAACAAAGAAGAAAATAAATAATAAAAAAGAAAGCAAAAAGAAGAAAATAATTGTATTCTTGGCTTAATATGCAGCCAATAGCTTTTTAAAATAACAGCAAACTAAAAAATAACCAACAAACATATTGATGAGGTTAAATGAAAACTATATTCAAAAATATATATGCATATAAAGAAAACTTTAATATTGAAATAACTGACTTCTATTAAGCTGAGGGATTCCGTGCCATTAAGACATAAATAACTATTTATAAGAATTTTGTCTGTCAGTTGTCGCTAAACTGATATAGCTGAAAAAGTTTTTGGTATTAAATGATACTAATTTTACAGATTTTATCGTGTTCAATTTTCACTTTTTAATTCCCTACGTTTCGGGTGCTTCAGAACACTGTATACTGGTGCATACTGTAAGCTTATTATTTGCGTACAATCGGAAAAGATTAATACTTTAAAACTGAAGGTAGCCGGGTTAACTATGACATCGGAATGTCTCACCTCAGTCCCTCCCCGTGACCATGAGTACTGTAAAGTATCCGAAACGTCGGGAATAAAAAATTCAAAATTAAACGCGTCAAAAACCGGAAAGTTAATTTAATTTAATGAGTAGTATTCGCGTAAATACGTAAAGTTTAATGAGTAGTGTTCGCGTGAATATGAAAGCCATTATGGTCTTTGGTATATTAAATCTAAATAACACCACATTTATAGATCCTATTCAGATTAAGCCAGAATGGTTCTATAGATATTCATAAGAGAAATGAAAAGTCAAATAAAAAAAATACAAACAACTACTCGAATAAAAAATGACATAAGTCGTGCAATAACGTAACATCAAAGAGGAAGAATAAAAGTGATTAACGCGTCATTTTTTTCTTATTTCTCATGCCAGGAAAAAAAGAAACGAGAACAATAAGACGGGTCAGTGGGGCGACTGTATTCATGGCAGTGTACCCTCATTTTCTCGTACGGCTTCTAAGACGAGACGCAACTGGAGCAACAACTTCTTAAGAACAGCGCGTTTGTGTTTTTCTTTACTAAGTACATACTCGTCGCTACTTAAGTGTCAGACGACATTGTTATTCCAAGTTACTTTGACATAATATAACTTAAGCTCTCACACCTGTCATCCAGAGAGGTAGGCAGAGAGTATGGACTTTAATACAATCCCGACACATCTTACTCCCTTCTTACACATCCACATTATCTCCGCGCAAATGTCTGTCGGTTATGTGTATAGTCTTAATTTGGCCCATCTTCAATATATCACCAATTTAGTAAGCAAACTTCCGTCTAGCAAATCCAATGTCGGTCGGTACCCTACTACTTATCTCTGCAACATACATTTGTTTGTCACTCTTTCCTCATTAATTATGTCTATGTATCCAAAACAAGACAGCATTACTTTTTTAAATTTTAGTCACAACATCTTGCAAACCACACTTTTCACTTATCACACAGTTTCTAACAGTCAACATTAACTTTTTTATGGTATAAGGGTGATAAACGAGCACACAGTCCACCTGATGGTAAATGGATGTTGTGGCCCATAGATCTCGCCGTAATACCTATCTACATTTTATCCATCCAGAATCGTAGTCACCCCTGAGGAATAAGATGGAATGCCTCGTTTCCAGTAAAAAAAGGTCTTCGGATATCTACACTCACCATACGAAACACAATTATGTTACTATATTACGATAATATTCTGTTACTTGCTAATTAACATACTTGTTAATTAACTTTTTTACCATACGTAAACATAATTCAAGCTGCCGAAGAATATTAGGCAGTTTTTAACATAGGTCAAGTGTGATATCCCTATGCAAGATATAGGAGTGTACAAGTTTGTTTGTGAATGTGGTGTCTCTTACATATGACAAATTAAAAGACCAATAAAAACTTGCGTTAAAGTTGTTTTATACTTCCCGGAGCGTCGATTGTACACGCATTTCTGATGTGTACAATCGACGCTCCGGGAAGTCTGGTGTCTGTGAATATATACGGGACCACCCCCGTCAT